CACTACCATGCCTAGCTTTTGGTCCCTGCCTTAAAATAACCAAGGTTCGACAATCAACAAGATTTTCTCTCTCCAGCTTAGACCCTGCTTCTTTAACTCAGAATTCTATCAACTTTGCATCTACCCTCACCCTTTTCTTCCCTGTCCTATCTGCCAGTTCTTCTAGCAGACTCTGTGCCTCATTAAGTGGTCAACGCCCTTTATCAGGCGCTTGTGTCAAAAGCCTTGGTAAACATCCCTTGACTCAGTTTTACCTTGGTTTGAAAACATGTTTACTGTCCTACACACCTCACCTCTCCACTTTCCCACCCCAATATAAGTGATCACACAATGGACACAGTCACAACCTTCTGCCTCCCAAGGCTTCTCTCCCACCCCATCCCACATCATAGTGTGCTCTTAGAAACCAAACCCGAGCAGTTTCCCCCCGTCATGCCACGCATCTGCTCAACTCCACCTGGTTGTCTTCCTCCGTGTTATTCTGTAAACGCCTGGAATTCTGATCTCAGCCTGACCATTACCGCTCCTGCCTCACCCCTGACCTATCTCGACTCACCATGCTTCAACCATAATTACTTCCCTGACTTCAGAGCCTAGAAACTTGTGTTCTCTAATATTAATCAGTCAGTGCTCAGCCGGGAGGTTCCCAGTGGTGAGGCATTCCCTGTGACCAGGCTGTGAGAGCAGACTCTCACTGTACGTACCTCAGCCAGTTCTCCTGATCTCTCACCATAGAACAGGCCACCAGACACTGTTTTCCACTTTGTGTCTGATATAGCACGTGCTTGGTCTGTTTTATTTCTTGTCTTAATAGTGCCTGGCAGCTAGAAAGTGACATACTTGTAGGATGAAAGAGGAAATTACAAAAAATGTAATTTTGATTTTTGAGATAGGGTCTTGCTATGTAGATGAGTCTAACCTCAAATTTGCCGCCTTCCTGTCTCGGCCTCTCGAGTTCTATCTTTATTTGGCTATGCTAGCTAAACCTGGATAAAGAACGACTTATCTTTCTTAGTCTTGATAGCATCGCTGCATGATTATTTGTGAACTGAACTTCATTCCTGTTCAAGGCTGAGATTTCATATTCTGAGCGAAACAGAAGCTAGACGGAGCCACACAATTCCGATTCTTCCTTAAAAACAGTATTTTAAAATACATTTTACATTTTATGGGGGAAATGGAATGTAATAAGCATGAAACCATGCAGACAATTTTACAAGTAGTTATTAGGTAAAAATGGAAGTGGTAAAAGTGACTAGTTCTCACCCAGCTGAATGTATGACTCTTGGAGCAGTGCCATTTGGTAACAAAAATGCTTAATGTAGAATGTATGCCTGAACACGTGTTATGCTTTCTCCAGTTTCCAGAACACTCCAATTCAGTATTACTACAGCCAGTTAGCCTACAGCCTGCCACAGCAGCACCGCCGAGCCAGAGGCAGCCCCCCTTGCCCAGCAATCATCCAGGTACACAAGACCCAAATCTGTCAAAGACTATTAATTAAAAATAGAGAAATGCAGAGAGCTCGTTGTACTTTGAAAACATATATAATAAACTCAGGGCTGACACCATTCATTATAATTCGCATTAGGAGATTATAAAAATACTTGTGCTGAACTGAATGTTGTATTTGGTTCACACTAAAATAAATAAAATTATAGTTGAGGTTTGGAAATCCTATTTTATGTATAGACTCATGGAACTTAGTAACATTTGAACCGTCTGTTTTGGTTGTATTTGTTAGACTCATTTAAATTGAATATTTGTTACATTAAACAAATTATGGATTGTGCATGCTCCTCACAAGCGTAATGTGTACTTAATGGTCTTTTTTTCCTTCTTCATGCAAGTGCTAAACAATGATCTCCAACCACCCAATTACTACGAGGTAATGGAGTTTGATCCCTTAGCTCCTGCTACAGAGTAAGTCATTTAGAAAATCATTAATTTATGTTTTGTCTCAGTTCTCTTTGAGGACAGAGCTGAGCTTGGTCAATCATTTAACTTTGTTTAGCATTTGGCAGAAATTTATGGCCTTATTAAAAATGATTTATGAGGTTTTATAGTGGCTGTTGCTCTCAATGGCCTTATTGCTCTTGGCCTGTGACTGAAACATAAAAATGCTAGTCACACGCTAAGAAGTAACTGGAACCAGCATTTAGCATAGATTGGTGGCAAGTGTCTTTCTAGTTTGAGAGGGACACTAGGCATGTTAATGCCACATTTTAAAATTGTTCCCCCAAAATTGAATCAAAAGACATGTAAAAGAACTTCTTGTGTTCAACATGACAAAAATATCCTTAAAAGTGACCATTAATGTTTTTTATTTATTATGTATACAATATTCTGTCTGTGTGTATGCCTGCAGGCCAGAAGAGGGCACCAGACCTCATTACAGATGGTTGTGAGCCACCATGTGGTTGCTGGGAATTGAACTCAGGACCTTTGCAAGAGGAGGCAATGCTCTTAACCTCTGAGCCATCTCTCCAGCAGTTAAAATTGTTTTATAGCCAGGTGTAGCCATACAGTATACTCTTAGCATGTCAGAGATATAGGTAGGAGGATCATGAGTCAGACCAGTGTAGGCCACAAGGCAAGACCTTGTCCAAAGGGAAAATAAAAATGCTTTGAATTTGAAATCCTTAAGGTACCATCACTGAATGGTTTCCTGTTTGTCAGGTTGTATATGGGATGGTAAGCACATTATAGGGGTTTTATTATTTTATGTGTTTGCCTGCATCATGTCTGTGCAGCCTATGTGTACCTGTACCTGTGTATGCAAAGAGGGTGTCAGATCCCCTGGAACTGTTGTTACAGACCATTGTAAACATTTGTGTGGGTGCTAGGAACTGAAACCAGGTCCTCTGAAGAGTGACCGGTGCTCTTAACTGCTGAGCCATCTCTCCAGCTCCCTATTACAGATTTAATACCTATCCTCTTGAGTGGAAGATTATCCCCATTGTGAAAAATGCTCAAAACAAGATTTTGGAAATCATCAATCAGAAACTGGTAGCTTGGAGTCTATATATCTGGTCCCCAGTTGTATTTTGTTTGGCCTGTGCAGAATTTAAAATGTACATTTAAAAAGAATCAATTACCCATAGTTAAAAACTAGTATGTTCAAGTAGTTCTAAAGATTTGTGATACTGTATAAGCGCCATAGCTGTGTTAATGTTAGCAAAGGTGGTGGTACAGAGTATGTTCTGTAGTTCACCACGTACCCATGACTGCCAATTGTAGCAGGTTTTCTTGGACAGCCATCCCTGAAATCATGACATGGTGACTATTAATTATGAATGCTCAGCCTTAGTTTAGGCTTGTCCCATTAGCTCTTATTACTTTTTTTAACCTGTTTCTCTTCATATATATTTTGCTTTGGTCCTGTTTTACAGCCAATGTCCTGGCACATGGGAGCATTAGATATATTTTCTATTTAAGCCCTCAGAGTAGACAGCCATTTTGGTATCATTTACTATCAAACAGACTCATGAGACCTTCCTGCCCTGACCTGAGTGTTGTGATTATAGGCACGTATCACCACATCCAACTGCTAGGCACTTTCCTAAGGATGGTGGAATTTCCCTTGGCTAAGCTTGATAAAAGTGGCTGCATCACTGAACACATGTACTTACGTAGTTAAATTTCAAGTCCAAATATTTCAGTTTCCTGAGCATATTCAGATTAACTAACTGCTTTAAGTAAGTATATTGTGTCCTAGGTACCAGGGGTGAGATGGTCAGCAGGGAAGCTGGAGGAGAAACCCTGGAACTCTTTACCACCTTGTTTCTTGCTTTCTGGAGACTCAGAGCCTCAGTTCTACTGAAGGTCTCATGAAATCCAGGAACTTCTAAGAAAAAGCAGAAATTCTTAGTTCTAGAGTTTTCACATCACTGGTTGGCCAATAATCCCAGGCCAAAATTTTCTTTCTGAAGATATCTATGTATCTTCAGCACACACATCGCCTTCAACATTTCATGTATATAATAGGGCGTGACTAATATCTAATTTTGAGCAAGACAAGCTCTCTGCTCTTATAAACATGAAACATAATGCGGAGAAAAAATTAAGCTGGCCAGCAAATATGTCAATGAAGGGATATAGTAACTAGTGTATATGAACTACTGTAAATGAAGGCTAGAGGTAATCATAAGAAGCAGCACTGCTAATTTTTGTCAAGTCTACAAAATAACAATAACAACCAAAAACACACACAGTAGAAAGCAGGTTTAGCACAGTCAATGAACTGGAAATGCCAACACAGACAATGAAGAAAGTAATCGGACATCTAGTGTTGGGCGTGGAAGTTTAATCTGCGCACAGCTATGATGAACATATTATACACAGTACAACCTGGTCAGGAACTGAAAACTAGATCTTGGATTCAGCTACATGCACATAGGTTTTATTAAAGCTATTTTAGTGAATTGGGGACACAAGCCACATTTCAATGTTAAAAATTAAGAGTGAAAATACATACAAATATCTTACAAGATAAATGTAAAGAGATGGGCATGGCTTGGGAACTAGAGGATTATTGAGGGAGGTTCTAGGAGCTATGTGATGAGAGACCGCACTGGCATGTAATGTGGAGGGTTAGGACCTAGAGAAGTTGAAGGTTTGGAAAAGAAGGCATTTGCTGAAGAGGTGTCTGAGAAGACAGGCTGACAGGATCATGGGAGTAATGGGCAATGCACATAAAAATAAACTGGAGGGATTGAGAAAGGACATATTAAGTTCCTATATAAAGATGGGGAACAATACATAAGGTTTCTTCCTGAGACATAATGAGATCAGTGGCTTAAAGAGGGTAAAAGGTAAAATTACTTTATGGAAAGTAAGTCTAAAAGTTTTAGAAACATGGTAAAATTGATGAAATTGATCACTTTGTTTGTTTTAGTGTTATTTTGGGAGATTTCTCCCAGCTGTGTTTTGCTATATTCTATATATGAATGCCACCTTTGGGTACAGATAATTTTTGAGCTATAAAATTACATATAAACTTAGGGAAATTATTAAAAATTATAATTTATTAATGGTACAGAAATGACCAACACAAGTTAAAGGTTTCTCCCAAGTCTAGACTATAATACAATGTTAAATAAAGCAGACAATTCCTATTTTTAAATTATTTTAAAACTAGATTTGTTTTAAAGTAAAACAAAAAAAAAATCAAACTGCCCAAATACGAACCAGTTTTCCTTTAAATCAAAAGTAAGAATAAATTGTCCTTGAATTGGCATGGGAAAGACCTCTAACATTAGAATGTTTTTATGTTAGAATGAGGTATAGGATAAAGATCTTTTTATTACATATGATGCCTGACACCCCAGCCCAAAAGCCAGTACTTTTCAGTTTTGGTGGTGCTAATACAGTACTTTGTAACTGAAGTGTAATTCTTCTACCTTGGTGGCTTTGTTTCAGAGCTGTTTATGAAGAAATTGATGCTTACCACCACAAAGAAGCTCAAAATCACAGTGACTGCTAAGGTAAACAAAAAAACCCCACCAGCTTACGCAACATAGATTCCATATAATTCAGTGGAATTAGCATATTGGTATTAAATTCTATAAGCACCATTCGAGTCTGATACCCATTTCAGCACAGTACCAAGTTCCTCTGAATTATTTAACACTGTCCAGTGCTCATTAATGACATACACTCTCCATTATCTTATCATCTAGAAATGAGGCATGGAAATACAGAAGCTGGTTTGGGGTATATAAATATTAATGCTAACAAAAGTAAAAGATGATCAGTAAACTTTGTCATTTCAATACAACTCTATGGCATCCGTGTGCAGTCCATACCTGTTAGCTGGACCATCAGTAGTGCTCCTGCACCAGGTATCCTATTTACATACCACTGAATGCCTGGTCTCCACTGACCTGCTCACTGTTTACTCCCTTCATATCTCCAACCATGGAAAAGTCCATTCCAACCTTTCCTCTGCTTAACTGTATGGCTTTCCAGTTTCTCAGGAAATTCAGAGAATGGCCAATGTCTTCCCTTTATTTCAGGAGTATGCTCAGCTAATTAGCAGCACAAAGGACCAGCTCAATAAAGCAGTCCCTGCTCCACTGAGGCCTGAAAGACAAGTCCTGCCAACAGGGAAATCCAGTGGACCACTTCTCAACAGAATAGTTAACATTTCCCAGCTAACACAGCTACTCCTGACAATGGCTCAGGATTTCAGGAGAAGCTGACTATAACAACTACAACTTCAGCAGAAGGAAAACTTTCTGGTATTAGGTCAACTGGTTAAGTTGAAGACTCTTCTGCTGCGCAGGCATTCCTACCAATAGAAATCACCACAGACCTATAAGGGTACTTGAAGATCGTCCTACTACAAAATATTGTGAACAGATTGGGCAGGAAGTGAAGAAGAAAATGAGTGCCTTCATTTAACTGAATTTGAATGTAGAAGTCAGTTTGCATTTATATATAAATAACACTTTGGTTTAAACTTGATGATTTGTTTAATTATATTTCAAGTGCCTGAGCACTGCATCAGGTGGCCTTTGTAATGTTAAACATTCTTGCCTTTTATTATAATTTACATTTTGAAACAAATACTGGAAAACAAAATTGTGCATCATTCACTTAAAATTAAATTACTATTAATTTGTCAGAGTTGTATTGTTTTTGTTTTGTTTTTTACCTCAAAGAGCATTTATGTCAATAAGTCTTCATAGTTTCTTCCTTACATCATCCATTAATGAATCTGGAATTATGATAATAAATGCCAGCACAGACTAGCAGGTGTAATTCTTCTGTTAAATCACTTTATCATCATATCCAAGTCATTGTCTATTCAATACTCTGAATAAATAAGCCCTCAATCTTAACAGGAAAAGCCACGCTTGAATGAAGATTACAAACTTGGAGTGAGCTGGCAGACCGAGTGATTCCTCTTACTCTTCTTTAAGTCTTTAAAACTGTCAGTTCAGCCAAAGACAGCTCTGCAGGAATGCATTTGCTGCCTTGTCTGACAACCTTGAAAAAACTGTCTCCCAGTGTGTCTGCTGACCAGTACATATGTGTCACTCACCTTCCCCACATACTCACAAAATAAATGAACAATTTTAAATTGTGTCACTTTATACTGCAGAAAAGTAGCAGCCCTTGCTTGGTGATAAGGTCTATGAACTAAAACCACTTGAGCATATTTTCTTTTTCAAAGTTTTCAGATACATTGGTAAAAGTGTGAAGGTCCTAACACTACAGAATTAAACTGAACCACTAAAGCAGTTTATTTGTGCATGTGTGCCATAGCATGCATATAAAGGCGAGGAGATTCTCCTGGCTCAACCTCCCACCTCACTGTCAGGACTCTGGGATTACAGGTGTCAGCTACTCCACTCACTCATTTAAGGCTGGTTCCAGGAACCAGAACAAGTTGTCAAGGCCTATGAAGCAAACAATTTAACCCACTGATTCATCTCCCTGACCTTTTGTGCAGTTTTCAACAGTCACCCGTGTGGTACATCCAACAGTCAATATTCTTCATGTCTCGATAAATACCATTCCTTTTCTATTACTGCACACAGAGCAATGCTCATTTCCTGCCCCTAAGTACCATCAGAGATAGCAGCATCTTTTTATCACAGACTGAGTCCTGAACCCATTCTCTCAGTCTTAAATGAGATAAATGAAGTTGAGAAGAAAGAAATAGAATCATTTAAAATACAAGGTTTCAATATACATTAGTGTAGAATATTTCTCTTCTGAGAAAGCACAATACATGATTTTCCAAAAATCACAAATCTGAAGCAGGCCTTGGAATCTACTTCAATTATAGCCTGGAACTGGCAACTTGTGCCCTTCCTTTGCTTCAAAAAAGGTGTAAGAAAGAGTGATGAGATCGACATTCACCATTCTTGGATCTTCTGCAAATTCAGGGTCAATATAGAAAAACACTGGCATGTCTACTTCTTCTTGTGGGTTAAGCCTTTGCTCTTCAAAGCAGAAGCACTACAAATTACAGAGAGATATTTGGTTAATAAGGTTCCTCTGTATTACTTAAACACAGCAATATTCATTTCCTGTCCTTAAGCACCACCATAGGATAACAACATCTTTTCTGCACAGACCGAGTTTTGCTTTAAGGATTAAGAAGCAATTTAATTCTAATCTTAGAATACAGTAGCCAGGCATAGCAGTACAGCCCTTTGATCCCACCATTTGGAAGGCAGAGGCAGGTGGGTTTCTGTGAGTTTGAGTCAGCCTGGTCTACAGAGCTCCAGGACAGTCAGGATACATAGACCCTGTCTCAAAACAAATAAACAAAAGGAACAAACATAAATTTGGTTTCTCCCTCCATCTAGATGGTACAAGCATGAAGACACAAAAATGGCTTTATGTTTGGAATAACTAAGTACTGATCTAGGCTTTTTTTTTTTTTTTTTTCTTCCCTTTTTCTGCAGTCTCACATTGCAGGCCAGCTTGGCTTAGAATCCATTACACACCCATATCCAGGCTGGACTCTACTCATGACAATGCTCCCATCACAGTCTATTGAGTACTAGGATTATAGGCATTAGCTACAATATCCAGCCAGAAAGTGAACTTTTAGAAATTAAAAGCATTTAATTTATAATAAGCAGTTTCACATACTTTTATCATAAAGTTTACACATTCAGTTTACCTGTATTTTATTGAAATACTGTCCAGCTTCAAATGGTACAACATTATATGTAGAAATTCCAATTACTGGTTTGTCAGTAGGATTCTTAGCTTTATAAAATGCCAGTGCAGTCTCTCCTGGTACCACCTGTTTCAACAAACACACGTTATATTTGATGCTATTCATTCCCCCCGCTAAATTAAGAATCATACTTTTTTTTATTCATTGGACCATACTACCTATCTCAATGTCCTATGAACACTGCCACAAACCTATCTTAGTTTCAGACTGTGTATTTGCTCATGCCAACAAAAGATCAGTTATCAAGGTCCCAGCTGGCTGTCTGAATCTTCTATAAATTACTTACAATGTGTCCAAGAAGTCAAGCAAACCACAGCTCAAGCCCAGCTACTTTATAACAGTTAAACCTGCATGTCATGATTGCCAAATTTTTTAAAGGGTGCCAATATTAAACTTAGCACAACTCTGAATAACTTACATTTATAACCAGTGTAAAAATGACTGATTGTTATCTATTAAACTAAAAGGAGTTAATACTTTGAGAAATAAAAGCAAAAAGGCTGTAAAAAATTTCCATAGGACATTCTATGACGTACCAATTTGCCTTCATCCTGATTATTGCCATGCAATTTGAACCAGTATTCAAAATCATAACCTACAAGCTCCTTAAAGAAAATTAAGTATGTTCACTAAACTGGGGAAGCACTTTGTTTTATAAGGGTTTTTTAAAATAACATTTGAAATTAAGGCTTTTGAGAGTAATCTATAGTTAAAAAGCATTTACCTCAAATCCTTTCAGGATTATAATTATTAACAATTCAAAAGAATTTTGGATACAATGATGCTAGACTGTTGTTACTACTGAAATAATTACTTCACATCTTTAAAATGTTTTCTTAGTCTATATGTTTAGCTCAATGGTAGAGTGCTTCCCCAGCACATACAATACCCTTGGTTCATACCTCAGTACTTTCTCTTCCTCTCAAAATTATATTTTTCTTTTTGATGGACAAAAATGCTTCTGATATGTCAGTCAATTACTTACTATGACCAATGATTCTCCACATTTTTTTCTATTATCACCTATATCATAGTAAAAGTCAGGAAGCTATATAACATGATATATACTCAACATTAGGATTTAGTCAACTTTTAATCTCATGATTATAAACACATAACATTGTTTCAATTGATTAAAAGTTAAAATATAGCCAGCACCATCTATACCTCTAATTCATTTAGATCTTAATGGCATGGTTGAGTATTTTTAAGGGATATCAATGTTAAACTAACCTTAAATAGATTACAATAAGTTTACAACCAGAGTAAAACTGATGGAATAAAACCCTTATTTAAGCAAAGGTTAATGCACTGAGAAATCAAGAATAACAGCAAGCAAGGCTAATTTGAGGTAGGAGGGTCGTAAGTCTGAGGCTGGCTTGGGGTATACTGTGGGACTATCACAGAAACCCCAAATGCCATAATTCCATTTAAATGTAGGGAATATGAAAAAGTAAATGTTTCAAAACACTAACATATTCCTTGAGTAATTCCACTCTGAAATTAGATCCCATGAATATTATCAACTCTATCTACTCATGAGGTGTACTAGCATTCTGAGATGCTTAGATGGTGTAACACTTTAGCACAGATGGGTTAACAGATGCACCCACTCGTCACTCACATATATCTCTGTTTGCTGAGGTCTGAAGTTCCAGTGGAGACTGGCATGCACGTCGGCATTGAAGGTGACCTTAATGATTCGATCCTTAACGGGCACCATGTTTTCAATCTGGTCGGATGAGTGCCCGGCCACTGCAGATCCTCCAAGTCCAGTAGTCTAGAACAAGACACTGGATACGTTAAGCAACAGTGTTTAGATCTCCATGTATCTCCTGGAAAAAAGTAAAATTTGAAAAACAACCGAATGCTCTACTTTGAGCCAAACTGTATACTACCCCTGATCTTTTCCTCTGTGTCAATGGTTTGTTTATATTTGGTAAAGTGAGTCCTATTTTTTTCTAGCAAGGAGTCACTTTTAAAAGCAGATTTTGAAGACAAGCTATTATTACTGAGTGTAAAGCAAGACTTTTGACATGTAACCTTTCATTAAACAGTTCCCTTCACTGTTAGTCTAGTTTACATAAACAATTTTTCACTTACAAAAACCAGTTTACCCACACCCAGTCATTTCAGTTAAAACACAAAACTGTCCATGTTTCTGCACCACAGTTTTTAGAGCTGAAATCAGTTCAGAGTTTCAGTTGTATATTGTTTTCCCAGGGCATCATAAATGTTTCCCCGTGTGGGTGGAGCAATGATTATCTGACACTTACCTGTAATTCTCTGCAAACACAGAGATCTTTTATCCTTCATTGACAGTTAATGAGTACCTGACCTTTTTAAGCTTTTTATTTTTGGTTTCCCAGTTAACTGCCATAAAGTACCAGGAATTTTTTTAAAGTATTTTTTATGGTTTATTTATGTGCACTGGTATAAAGGTGTCAGATCCCCTGCAACTGGATCTTCAGACAGTTGTAAGCTACCATGTGGGTGCTGGGAATTGAACCCGGGTCCTCTGGAAGAGCAGTCAGTGCTCTTAACCACTGAGCCATCTCTCCAGCACTGACTGCTTTTCCAGAGGACCCGGGCTCATTACTATCATTTTATCAGATGTGGGGACAATGCTACTTCCAAGATATTCTTATTCTTAAGATAATCAGAATTCTGATTCCCAGATAATTTACCATGCCTATACTAGAAAAACAAAAGGTCAAATTTGAGGCTAATGGAAGACTCTAAAAAAACTACCGTATTAATATTTTACTATCTTTCTTTTGCTTGTTACACAAGTTACTTAGCTTCAGCAATTTCTCTCAACATTGTCAAATTCCACTTTAAACCTAAGAGATGAACTGCAGGACAAGTATTTGACTTTATTTAACAAGTGTATATATATATATATAATTTTGTTTAAGAGACTGAGTTTTAAGACAAACTATTTTTCCTAAAGAATTTAAGTCAGTTGAATAAAAATAAATTTATGTATTCTCCTTCAATATCAATTCCTTATATATTCTTGGGACATATGTGATTAAAGTTTCTCAAGTTCAGTGCTTAAACTAAACTAGCCAAACAGTCATTAAAACGACATCCTGGGCTCAAGCCCAGATCTACTACTAGCTGAGGCAATCATAGTATCGCTGGGTTTCATTTTAATTGGCTCATAAAAAGGGACCATTGCATTCCATGGCATCCTATACTTACTTTATTTCTTGCTCTAAAACTTGTTGATTTCACAGTAGCAGGGTATTCTCAAGGACATACTAGTGTTAAACATGGAACTTGATTTTAAGGCTACTTTTTTTTAAGACCTAATGTTAACCTAGCCTAACCTGACGAAAGCATGTGAACAGACACTCAGGAGTGTTAACTACTTCATTTCTGTCGGTCTCAGTACTACTGGCATGTTGGAAAATCTTTTTTTTTTTTGGGGGGGGGCGGGGTGTCCCATGAACTTCCAGGTAACTAACAGCCTGTCTAACCTCTCTACTCACTAAGTGCCAGGAGTACCCTGTCCCTGTGTTAAGGCTCATTCCTTCTGAGGCGTGGCACCAGCTCCATCTCTCCCGGAACTGGCCTTGGAGAATCGCGGCCTACGCAGGCATTGGCCCAGGGATGATGGCGCCGCTGGGCTCCATCCTGCACCTCGTCCCTCCCTACCTGGCAGTAGAGCCGATAGAGGGGCACGGCGGCATAGGAGGCCCCCACCATGCCCACGGCGGCCGCGGCCACGTAGGTGAGCACCGTCTTGTTCCGCCGCCGCCACTCGTCCTCCTGCGCGCGCTGGTGCGGGTTGCTGCTCCTCGGCCGCCGGGGCGGCTGCGCGGCGGGACCGCGGAACCCGCTCGGACGCTCCCATGTCCCGAGCCGCCTCAGGCCCCGCCCGGCACCTCCGAGCCCCTTCCAGCCGGGCCTAAGAACCGGCTCCGATCTCGCCACAGTCCAGCCCGCCCACCCGGGCTGGCTCCAGCACCGGCAGCACAGAGCCACCGACCTCTATCCCGGACACCAAAATCCTCCCATAACCCCCCGGAAAGCACGCCCGCCTGTCAGGGCCGCTAGGCGAGTACTCGCGAGACCTCTCGAGTCTCGCGGTAGCCGGGTTGAGCCCCGCCGCTGCCTTGACGACCAGATTCCTCAGGTAGTAGCCGGGCTACGGAGGCCGGGTGGCCAGAAGAGGGTAAGTTCGCGTTTTCTTGCTAGGTGGCTGTGCCTTGCAGTTTGTTTCCCTCTAATACTTCTCTAGTTTACTTTGTGGAAAATGCATCTGGCCCTCTACATGCAAGCTCCTCACTGGGGTTTGTACTGTAACACTTAACACCCATCTTCCCAAACTCCGTCAGCCTTTGTCTCGACCCAGCGGCCCCCAGCGGCAGCTCTCGTGTGGGGCTCCTGCTTGGAGTTCACTAACCACCTCTGACCTGAGGTCAGGCAGTGCTTCTTTCAGGAGCACTAACTGTGCAAACTGCATCCCTCTCCAATACTCTCGACTTCTGCATCTTCTCAGCTCATTTGCAGACGCCTTCCACGGCGCTGATACTCCTTTGCTATTCACCCCATAAGAACATCAAGGCAGAGAACCGCTTGCAAACTGCGGTTCAGAACAGAAGGACCAAGATTTGTGGGCCTTTTAAAGGGGGAACTGAATCGGGCAGGCAAAGACCCCCGGGAAATATGCAATAGCCGTCTTCAGTTCGCTAATAGGACAAACAAGGACCACTAGTAAATAGCAGCTAAGAGCAGATTCTGACGTTAAGCTCTGATGAATTTACTGTGGACTTGTCCTTACATCTGTTGTATTTTCTTTTAACTTCTCCATAACCTGCTGACCTTATTTCGTGATTGGAAATCACAGTGGTGCATGAGGATAAGCATACGAAGTGATTTTCCCACTGCTGCAGGCATAGGAAGATCTTTATAAAGTTAGGTCTAGTTTCTAATGGCAAGAGTGGGTCTGATTATCCCCCCCCCTTCGTGCGTTAGAAACCTGAAGGCCTAAAGAACTGTAGGTCAGTCAACATTTATCCCTGGCACTTCTTAGTTGACGAGGGGGGGGGGGAGGCATCATCCAAATAAATCAGGCACACGCACTTTTGTTATTGATTGCCCTCGGAAAATAAACCTGTAAATAAGGGGATTCCAGCTAACAGGGTCTGCCATCAAAATAGCTGGGGGCATGATGTCTCTCTTTAAAAGGTAAAATAAGGTCATCCTAGAGGTGACATTTGAGCCTACTCCTGAACCTTGAAAAAGAGCTACCCACAAAACAGTCTTGGGTCACACACAAGTCCAGAGGCAGGGGTGGATTGGATAAGATACAAAACAACAACAACAAAAACCAAGGTCAGTGTGAACCTTGCTTACTGAGCAAGGCTGACAGTGGAAGGAAATTGGGTCCCCGCCACACAAAGACCTGATAAAGCTATTGAAACCACTTTAAGGGAAGCTTAGTGTTAGGAACAGTGGAGAAACTTGATCTGATTTTATTCACACTAAAGGAAGAAAAAGATGTTAGTCACATGAGATGAGAGTGAAAGGGGCAAGGGTGGAGGGCATGAGTGGGAAGCAGATGTGAGGCAACTGGAGTAGTTGAGGACATGGAGGCCTTGGATCAGTAACTGGTTAGTGGCCACAGAGCTGCGAAATTGTAGTGTGGATAAAATCTAAATCATTGTCTAGTACATCATTCTGGTACATGGCCACACAAGTAACAATGCTCTTACTCTAGAAATTTGCTTTCATTTTGTTATGGCAGTATTTGGTCATCCTTTCCCTCTGTATGCGCCTTGACGCTTACACAGACTGTGAGATTTTCAGGATAAGACCTCTTAATTGTTTACAGTGTAGACTCAAATTCCTTACTAGGGGCCTGTGGATACAGCTTGGAGGTTAAAAGCTTTTACTGTTTTGCAGAGGACCTAGGTTTAGTTCCAAGGACTCACCTGGAGACTCAGAACTTTGACTCCAGTTCCAGTGTTTCTAGCCCCTTCAGGCACTTCACACACACACACACACACACACACACACACACACACACACACACACACAATATGCTTGTAATTTCTTTTAAAAAAAAATCCTATGTTAACTTTAATGTGCTTGAAGCTAACAGTGTATTTCCTTCAGCCTTCCCCCCCCCCCTCTCCAGGTATTTTTCCATTCAGATTATTCAAAGCAGCTGTATAAATATGTCAGTAATAGAGCTGTAATCATGAATGTTTTTATTTATTAACTGAATGTGAATATCTGAGGTACAGCCATTATGATTGCAGTAAAGTGATGTAAGTCTTTCTAGATTTCTCTTTTACTAAAATAGACATCAATCCAATCCCAATACAATAATGGAAAATGACAGTTCATGTTTATAAAAATGTTTCTGGATGATAATTAAAACTTTTCAATCTCCAATTCTACTTTGAAATAATTTTAAAAGTTACATAATCTATGCAGACGTAATAAATTTCCCACTTTTCCTTCACCTGGTTTCCCTAATCTTAAAGATCTCTGTACCATCTGAGAAGAGAGCAGGCATATGACATTCTGGAACTGTAAACTTAATACGTACAGAAGTATTGATTACAAGGGCACAGCACAGCCATCCTAAGCAGGTATTTAGCATCAGTTCAATATTACTGTGCTATCACCTTGGGCCACCATAACAAAACACTGCAGACTAGGTTACTCAACAATGTATTATGTTTCTGGAGACTGGGAAACCAAGAGCAAGGTACTGGCTAATGCATTTCTCATGAGGGTCCTCCCTCGCCTGTAGTACACTTGTGGACTGGCATGCCTGGGAGAAGGCAGCAAGCTTTGTGATGTCTTTTTTTGAGGGGGTGTTGGGGGACTTGAGACTTGGTTTCTCTGTTGCTTTTGAGCCTGTCCTGGAACTCACTCTAGACCAGGCTATCCTTGAATTCTCAGACATTTCCTGACTCTTCCTCCCGAGTGCTGGGATTAAAGGTCTACGCTACCACCACCCTGCTGTGATGTCTTTCTTATAGACACACTAATTGCATCTGATCGATCACTTGTTCTCCATTATGATCTCATTTAACCTTAGTAATAGCGTAGTCTGGATAGAGCTGCAATGGGGCTAGGGCTTCAACATGATTTTAAGGAACATGTACCTTCATAACTTCATACCATGGTATTTGTGGATTCAGCTTAAGTTAGTACCACTTATGGTAGTTTGGATTTAATTGGCTCCGATAAGATCATAGGGAGGGGCACTATTAGTAGGTGTGGCCTTGTTGGAGGAAGTGTGTTACTGGGGTGTAGGCTTTGAGGTCTCTTATGCTCAAATTACGCCTAGTTTAGCTCACTTCCTGCTGCCTGTGGGATCAGTATGTGGCTCCTTTTCCAGCACCATATCTGCCTGCATGTTGCCATGCCCCACCATGAAGATAATGGACTAAACCTCTGAAACTGTAAGCCACCCAATGACTTGGTTTTCTTTATGAGACTTGTCGTCATGGTGTCTCTTTACAGCAATAGAAACTCTAAGACACCACTTGTCCCAGTTATTTCCAGCTTTTGTCTACAGTCCAGTCCAGGATGGCCCCTTGTTTTTAGTGTCCTGCCTCTTTAGTTTTCACCAGTCTGAAATAGTTCTTTAGCCCTTCCACACAGCCTTGATTTTTTTTTTTTTTAAATAGTAGCACCTAGTTAATAGCTATAGTGTCCTCAGTATGTGTCTGATTTTTGTGTGCGGTGCTTTCTCATGGTTTATGAGCCTCTGATTGAAACCACAGAAGTGAGGTATTGTCTCATTGAATTTCTTTAGGGATCACATAGCTTCAACTTGATTCATGACTGTGAGGTGTTTACCTCTTTACTAAATGTCATATCTCAGTTATGGTTTCTAGTTGGCATGCTCCTCTTCCATTCTTCCTCCCCTAACCGTGGTATTAGCCGTTACTGCAAGGGCCTGGCTTCCTAGAGTGGAGAGTGATATTTAGAAATAAAACTAGGAACCGGAAGTAGTCATTATCCCTAGACCTTCTCAGACAGACCAGACAACTTGGATGTATAGTTACAGTTGTGTATGTGTGCCCAGCATGAGAAGTGAGTCTACTGTTATTTTTAATATATAGACTACCTGTTTGTTTCCCCCGGTATCTGAGCAAATTACCATAGCTGAGAACTTGGCCATAGACATGTGAGCTTGCTTCTGCCTGGTATATGAACCCAGAGAATATGCTCCATTTTGGGCACCATTTAAACATTCAGCAGGACAGAAGAAAAGAGGGCAAAGCCAAAAGCAAAGTGATTATAGTTAGCTGCAGGCAGTTTTGAAGACCTGGAGGAAGGAAGGAAGGCCACAAAGGAGAAGCTTGATTCTGGAAATATAGTCCCTTCCCCTACCCTCTCCCAAGCCCAGCCCCCTTTGAGGCCAATCTTCCCATTCTGTCGATAAGGAAAAAAACAGACTGAAAACATTGAAGTAACTTGCACAAGCAAAGTCAGCTGGGTAATGTCAGCTGAAGCTTATGCTTAAAATGATTGTGACTCCTTGCTTCCTGGTATTTTTCTGTGCCCTGTATAGAAAGCAGTTTTGCAATGGACAATGGTAATAACAAATGAACCATTTCCGTTTCAATATCAGGACAAGTTTCTTCTGCCTTGATTAAAATCATTAATGTGCTAAGTTGTCTATTTAGAAGACAGCATATTTTAAAATGATTTTCTGAACTAGAACAAACTGGAATTAAACATAAGATTGAAGTTAGAACACAGTGTGGAGGCCTGAGGTCAAGGATCTGATAATACAAGACTGGCATATGCAGCTAGAGGAATACTGCAGTATCAGAAACTCCCGAAATGTATTTGTTCTTCTCTACAGCTTTGGATGAATGCTTAACCCCAGGCTATAATTTGGTGAGTCTGAGTGTGTTCATGATGTTGCATAAATCACAGTGGTAGCTAATGCCTAGGAGTGCTCCACCATGGATGGAAAGTGAACTCCTCCGGGCTAGTCTAACCCTGTTCTGCAGCTAGAAGTACGGCCGCACGTTTAAAATGTAAAGCCTGTACTG